GGAGGGCACCGGGGCGATGAACTGGGCAAGGACGAACTGGGGCGACGGATTGGAGCAGGGCACGGCTCGATGGGCACCGTGGCCACCGGGGGGCTGGGCAAGTGTCCCTGTCCCCATCCCCCCCTTCTCCTGGCCGCGCAGGCAGGGCTCGGCACCGGGCAGCACCTCCCCTTCTCACAGCCCTCCCCTCTCCCCGCACACGTTTTGGGCAGGACCCCTCTCCCTCCCCCTTCCCCCCCATCCCGCACCGACCCCCTCCCCACCACGCTCCCCGGTTTCTGTTTCCAGCCACTTTCCAGCCGCTAGACCTTGTTGGGATGTAAAGAATGTAATTTATCGGGAATTCACTGGCCCATACTTGCCTTTCACTGCTACAAACGACATATCTATAAATATATATATAAATATGGGTTGTTTTCGGACTGGACTACAGTGATTCACTTTCTCTGTTTTTGTTAGAGTTTATTTTATTTGCTGGTGTCGAAGAATCCGCGTGAGAGTGATTTTTTGCTTACAATTAAAGGTGAAATGGCTTTATCCGGCCCGGCTCCGCTGCTTTGCTTTCCCCCACCCCTCCTTCCCGAACCCAAAATCACCCCAGACCCCCCGTTCTCCCCGAGCCCGGGTCCCTGCAGATGGCGATGGTGCTCCGAGGAGGATGCGGAGCCCTTCCCCGCCTTCCCCCCGCCCCGGCCGGGCTGTGCTGGGGGCCCTCAGGGCGTGTGTGAGCCGAGCCGGGCCGGGCCAGCGCTGCCCCGGTGCCGGTGCCGGTGCCGATCCCAATCCCGGTGCCCATCCCAGTCCCGATCCCGCCGCGATGTGAGCGCTCCCGCACCATGTCCCGGCAGAGAGGTACGAGGGGGGTACGAAGCGATGCAAAGCTGAGGGAGAGGAGGGGTACAAGCCTAAAATGGTGGGGAGAAGAGGGTAGAGGGTGCAGAGGGGCTGTGTGGGGGTGCCCACGCGTGTGCGGCTGGGCGTGGGGGTGCGCGGGGGGATGTGGAAGGGGAAAAGGGGGTGAAAGGGAAGGAGGAGAGGGGGGGAAAAGGGGGAGAGCGGGGGTTTGGGGTGGTGGAAGGTGCGGGGGGCTGCGGGAGGGGTGCTGGGGGGGGAGGAGCAGGGACGGGGTGCCCCCCAACACTGGGGTGCCATGGCT